TATTATCTCATGATCCCTTCCCTTGTAAATTTGAGAAATTGACCCGAGTTTATTCAATATGTGGTTGTTTTAATTTTTTTTATAAAAAAAAATGTTTTCTTAAATTTTTATTAGTTAAACTATGTTTTTACTAGTTATTTCTGTTTTTTTTTACCCATCAAGTTACATGAAGTCAAACTTTATATGATTTAAATTTTTTTTACTATTAGAAAAATGTTAATGCCTAGATACTTTTTTAAAATACTTAAAAACAAAATTAATCAAACTGCAATATAAACATGGGCTAAAAATTTAGTGATATGTTATAGAAAGCAGAATAATTATTATTTTTTTGTTATATATATTACAATATAGCTAAAACATGTGTGGAAAGTAGTGTAGTTTTCCCCACATGTTACTATGAATTGCTAGTTTTTTTTTTTTTGAAAAAGAAATTATTTTTATTATTTTTTTTTAAATTTGAGCTGATTAAGAATTTAACTTTGTAATTGTTTTTCCTTAAAATACTGTGAATTGTTATAGTTTTTTTCCACATAGTTTTTTTTGTTATAATTTTTTTAAAATTATTTATCAATTTTTTTTATATTGAACTGGTTGAGAATTATAGTTGTAGTTTTTTCCACAAAACACCATGGATTGATATAGTGTTTCTCAACTTGATTTTTTTTATTTTTTTATGATTTTTTTTAAAATTGTATTTGTCAATTTTATTTTTTTAATTTTGAATTAGTTGAGAATATAGAATTGTAGTTTTTTTTTCTTTAAAACATTGTGGATTGCTACAATATTTCCTTACATGATTTTTTTAAAAATTACCTTTGTCGATTTTATCTTTTAATATTATGCTGGTTAAGAATTAAAATTATAATATTTGAGAAAAACACTATAGCTTTCCTCAAAAATTACTATGAATTGCTATAGTGTTTTCCCCACATGGTTTTTTATGTTTTTTTCTAAAATTATCTTTGTTGATTTTTTTTTAATATTGATCTGGTTGAGAATTATAATTATAAGTAATACAAGTAAAGCTAAATCATATAGTGAAAACACCGTAACTTTCCTCACAAAACATTATGAATTGCTACAGTGTTTTCCAACATGGTTTTTTTTTCTTTTTTTAATTTTTTTGTTATGATTTTTTTCAAAATTATCTTTATCGATTTTATTTTTTAATATGGAGCTAGTTAGAATTTAGCTTTGTAATTTTTTCTTTAAAATACTGTGGATTGTTACAGGATTTTCCCACATGGTTTTTTTGTTTTTTTGTTATGATTTTTTTTCAAAAAACATTTTTCAATATTAATTTTTAATACTGAATTGGTTGAGAATTACAATTACAATAAAATTAAATCATATGGAGAAAAAACCATAACTTTCCTCACAAAACACTGTAGATTGCTGTAATATCTCCCCACATGTTTTTTTATCTTATGATTTTTTTAAGAATTATCTTTGTCAATTTTATTTTGTTTAATATTGAGCTGGTTGAGAATTACAATTACAAGTAAGGCTAAATTGTGTAGGAAAGGATTATACCTTTCCTTACAAAATATTGTTGTTACAATGTTTACAACATGGTTTTTTTGTGTTTTTTTTTTTGTTGTGATTTTTTTAAAATTTATCTTAGTCAATTTTATTTTTTTAATATTGAACTATTTGTTGTGATTTTTTTAAAAATTATCTTAGTCAATTTTATTTTTTTTAATATTGAACTAGTTGAAAATTTAGATTTGTAATTTTTTCTGTAAAACATTGTGGGTTGTTGTAGTGTTTCCCCACAAGGGTTTTTTTATTATGATTTTTTTAAAATTATCTTTGTCGATTTTATTTTTTTAATATTGAGTTGATTGAGAATTAGAATTACAATAAAGCTAAGTAATGTGAGGAAAGCACTTCATCTTTCTTTATAAAACAATATGGATTGCTACATTGTTTTCTTATATGGGTTTTTTTGTTATGACTTTTTTTAAATTATCTTTGTTGATTTTATTAGGAAAAATATTGTAGTTTTCCTCATAAAACATTGTGAATTGCCATAATATTTCTCCTCGTAGATTTTTTATTATTTTTAAATTTATCTTTGTTAAATTTTTTTTATATTGAGCTGGTTGAGAAAAATTTTTTATTATTTTTTAAATTTATCTTTGTTAATTTTTTTTAATATTGAGCTAGTTGAGAATTTAACTTTATATTTTTTTATTAATAAAAAAACTATATTATATAAATAAAATATTTTGTCTTTCCTCGTAAAATATTATAAATTAATACAAATCATTCTATTTAGTTGCAAGTATTTAATAATCAACATAATGTTTTTTCTATTCTAAAATATTAATTCTATTATATTTTTAGTTTCTATTAATTATCTACTATTAATTTATAATTATATTGCTATCAAATACACATTATTGATTCATAAATCAATGCATGTCATCTCATAGTGGTAATAGAAGTAGCTAGCACACGCAAGAATAATCATCGAATGTTGGAAAGAGTGCACAACACAGTCAAGAGTGGTGTAAGGGTCACATTAATCATGAAGCCAAGAAGTACAATGTGTCACACGATCAGGCATGGTCCCGTAATTAAAAAAGATATATTTTCTCCAAGAGAATTTATTGAATTTCTACAAAAGCACCAAGTAAATACAAGGGTGTTTTTTAAAATAATTAAAAAAAAAAAAGATATGAGCGATAATTTAGTCTTCGTCAAGGTATTTGGTAGATTTTTTAAATTCTTTAATTTCAATTACATATGAAGAATGGCATCAATAATTCTTCCAAGAATTATGATAGCAATTGTGGACCATATGATATGAATGGAAGAGCTCTCGTCAATAACATAAATTATGAAGGCTTTTGGCTGTGTGCACTAGGAGTCCTTCTGGAAAAGCTACAGCACATCCACACTCATAATTCAAGTGTGGTCCAAAATAAAGCTTATTGTAAATCAATGTGTTCCATTCCAAAGACACAAGCATCTCTTCTCCAGCTTTAAGGATAAGCTTCAAAATATGTTCTTTTCCTTTTTTTTATTGAGGACCACATCTGCAGCAAATAATTCTTTTTCAAGCGTACAATAATTATCATGAATTCTGGAGGGATGAGAATCAACTTCTCTCGCAATCCAAGGGCTATATGTGAAGGTCGAAATGTTGTTCATATGGCACAAGCTGTTTCGTTAGGTTTGTAGCTGCAAGGAAAAAATAAAATAAATGAATAAATAAAGGAAAGTTACCAGATTACTATGCGGGGTAAATTCTTCATAGCTTATTTACAATTTAGTTAAATTGGGTTGAATTGAAGAGATGTGAGTGATATGGGGTGAATTTGACAAAAATATTTTACAGGAATGACTTGACATGTATATTGACACAAATACAAGGACTAAATTGGGGTTCAAAACATTTTCATCTAAAACGGGGAGAGAAATAAGGGCCCTACCGGGTTCGAACCGGTGACCTCTTGATCTGCAGTCAAATGCTCTACCACTGAGCTAAGGACCCAAGTTGTATTCAGCTTCGATACATAACATATAATAATAAATATTTAGAAGGACGATTTCTGTTACCATGGCTGCCTGAGGCAATGATTGTTTTTATGGCTTTTGGAAAAAGTTAATTTTTTCTGTTTTAAATTAAATTTTTTATTTAGATTTTATTGGTACAATGATATCAACAATAAATTTTAAAAAATAAAAAAAATTATTTTAATACATTTTTAAATAAAAATATATCAAATGCTACTTGAATTTAACGTAAACCATCTTTAATATTAACTTATTCAATTATCATGGAGACTTTTATTTTTCTGGATTCAATAATTGGTGGTGATTTTTTGTGTTTTAATTGGAATCAAATTTTCTGATCACGTTATTTATATATTCACAGGAATTTCTTTTAATTTCAAAATTTGAAAACTGAGGAAAAAAAACTTGTTTTCTTAATCATCAAATCAATTTTTACTCTTTTATAGTAAGTTTTTTCTTTTTTCTTTTTTTTTGGGGGGGGGGAGATTTTTAAAAAAGAGTGAAATATGTGTACCATGGGTGATTGAATTTGAATCCGGAGGCTTTCTAGCATCTCCTTATTCAATTATCCTAGGAAATGTTTTTTCTTGATTCAATTGTTAGTGGTATTTTTTAATTAGTTTGTGTATCAATCAAAATCAAATTCCTTTATTATATCAATTTGATGTTTTTTAAAATATTTTAATAAAATTATTATTATTTCAAAATCCAATCTGAGAAATAAGAAAAATAATCAAATTAGTTTTAACATTTTTTTTTTTGACCATCTAGTTCATCTTTACACTTTTCATTCCATAAAAATTCAATCTCTTTTCCTAATTTATCGATAACATATTAACTATCAATTAAAAACTTCTGCTATAATGGAAAGAACTGTAAGGGCTTGAAAATAAGTTTTCTTCCTCGATAATAAAAAAGATACATGTAAAAAATATCAAATTATATATTATTCTCCATTCTAGATAATGATATAAAATTGAAAACTCTGGGATTTTCTTGCATCATTACATCTATAATCTGGACATAAAAATCACAAAACTATTCTCTAAGGATTAAAAAGTTATTATACAAAAATCATATACTTTATACAATGTCCATGACAAGATGGCCAATTTCATGGCTCCTCGGTCCATAAGCCCACAAATTATTCGAGAATTCGTTTGGATTGAAGACCCAAAATCCTGTTTCTGTAGATTCATAACACAAAAAACTCTCATGGTGCACTCAGCAATGCAGGAAGCTAAAGTATAGATGGGAATCACAGTTAGGAGCCAAATCGTAATTGTATAACTAATTATGCAGATTAGAACAGTGATTAATGAACAATATCCAATTATGTATATGGAAATAATTCTCTGTAATAGCGATGGTGTAGCAGGTATTACAAGGCAGCCGGCTAAAACAGCTATGCTTCAAAAGCAGCACCCAAAGTTAATACACACCAATCATCTGTTTAACAAACGAAGAAAATCTCCACAAAACGGCCAAAAACTAATTTAACCTTTTCAGATATAATTGTGATCCATATGATACATCTGTTGACAAACGAAGCTCAGCCAAAAATGAAAAATTGATGAACAGCCACAATATATGATAAATGAATGAAGAAGAGAGAATAGAACAAGAAACAACCGCCTCGAAAAAGAAAGCTAAGACTCGCACAATATCATCAAAACACCCCAGGCCCCCACCACCCACCCAGTTGAGAAAAGGAAAAATCACTATCTCAGCTAGCAGCAGTAGTACATAAGATACATCTCAGCCGAGGAACACCAGAAACGGTTTCCTCATCCTCATCATTGCTATCGTATTCCGATATCCCAGAAGTGGCTCCACTCCCTTTTCTGCTACTAACAGTGTGCATAGAATCCATAAGACAAGACATGTGATAAGCATGACAGCAAAAGAATGCGACAACTGATACATCTCGTATAGAGAAGGGATCAAAACACATGCAACATCTTGTTTCTCCCCTGGTTTTTGACTTAACCTCCATGGTCCTTGCACTCGCTGTTCTCCCAGCTGCTTGTGAATCCCTACTGCCATCCCTTTTTGCTCGAGCATCTTCTTCTTCGTTGCTTAAGCAAATTGCCCTTCTCGCTTCTTTGTAGTATTTGACCAAGAGATTTACACAATCAGCCTGTGTGTCTCAAAACAGCATCAGAATGTTACCAACTAGCAAATATTGTCTCTATTTAGATGAAAAGAAAGGGCACATGAAGCATGATACCTTAAGAATATCATTGCACCCATGTCTCAAAGATGTTTCCGTTCTGTAATCGGTGATAATTTTGACTAGTCGATCCCTAAGCCTGAAATAACAGTGTATAAAGATAAGAAATTACACACAATGAACAATAACCAATTCATAAGTTACATTTTCAACTTTTCTGCAACTCTGGGAAAATGTCATCTTGAAGCATAATCTAATTAGCATTTACAGAAAAAGTAGCATCTTCATACCAGGACAGACTAGAAGGAAGCTAGGAAGTAGCATATCATCAAATATGATGTGCAAAAATACAGCTTACTTATTGGTAGTCACTCAGAGCTTGGTGGTTAATGCTAAAAAAAAAAACATTGCAGCCTAGAATGTATCTAGGCTACTTCATATGTAACACTGATTAAATTATAGCGAATTTTGCATCCAAAAAAGGAGAAAAGATAGTATTCTAATTTGATTAGGACTGTGGTCCCTTAAATTCTACTTAAGCTAGGAGACACAGTAACAACATGTTTGCAGTTTAGTCATGTGTATCTCACATGCTGTAAAATATGTTTTTGGTGACCAACTTCAGACAAAAAAATTTCAGACTTCAATTATACCCCTTCTTATTTCTTCCTAACAAGGTTATTTGCAAACTGATCTCATGGATTCTAAGCCATGGATAAATTACTTTCAAATACCTTGGATTATTAAATGTTGTCGTTGTGTTTTTCAAAACAACTAGATTGCAAAACCTTCATTTAAGAACAGGGGATGATTAACAAGGAATTAAACAAAACACGTTATCAGACATACTAACCGGGGTATTTCCAAGCCATTGGGCACCATATTTACAATGTATAAAGGATCAAGATTGCCAACAGTGTGCTCCAACAATACCCCCACCTGCCATGTTGCAGAAAAGAGAAGGAAACTCAATGAACATATGGATATGTTGAATCACAGGGATGTTTGAAGAAGAACAGCAATCAGTAGAACAAGTCCAAAATGTACCATTTCAGGTTTGTGAAGACATTGCTTAATTAATTCTTCCCATAGCTCATCATCGTGCTGCAGGGTTACAAACTCTACAGCCTGCACCCATGATAAAACTTTTCTTATTTCTGCCAATACTCCCAACATAAAAATAAATATGATGGTTTCAACCAAATATGATAAATACCTCTTCAATGTCCCCTAATTTATTTATGATGACAGCTAGCGCCTTCTTTGAGTTTCCCATTCTTCCAAGTATGAAGACTTGCTCTCTTAAAAGATCTCTTTTGACACAAATGTCATATGCCTGAGATGTAAGAGTTCAACCGGTCAATTCATTAGTGAATTACTGAAGGAAGAGTTGGCATGCATTGACTTGAAACGTCATAAGTGTCCATTTATTGACTGTTCAAACCTTCTCAAGGGTGTAATGTTGGCTGCTCCGGAGAAAAGGTAGTAGCATTTTCAGATCATTATCTGCATAAAGCTCTACCTGTCTCAATGAAAATAAAGCTCACAGCAATCATTATATATTGAAGACTGCAGAGACACACACACAGGCAATAACCAGACATGAGCTATTGAGCGGCTCGTGACCAAAATAATTGTCAGCAAGGTGAACAGGATGGATCATTGGGGAGAAACCCCTGATATGGCTCCTCTCAGCAGTTAAAAATGGATCTTATAGTGTAAGAAAGAATAAAATATAACCTGTACTAAACTGAAGCTTCAAAACAAAAGGCATAACAAGTGGCTCCTTTTAGATGAGTGACTTGATCATGATGGCAGGTAAATTCAAATTAGCAGATAAACAGCTAAGACAGCAATGATAATGTGAAAATGGGTGTGCAGCTTACATGCATCCATGGCATCCAAAACACATTTTCATGGCCTGTAGGATGTAAAAACTTCTTTAATGAGAATAAATGTAAATCTCTGTTCATGTCACTTCAATTTTGACACTCCAGGTCACAGTGTTCATGATTGTTATGTCCTTATCTACTTCTACTAGCAAAGGAAACCAAAACCTTTACAGAAGGAACTGCCCATGAATTTAACAAATTGTAGATAGAAAAAGAAATAGAGAAAAAAAAAATGTAGTCAGCCTTCTCCATACTTGCATATCATGAAAATCCTTTCCTGCATGTGGATTTGCTTCAAATAAGGCATGAAGATATAAGTGTAGGAAATATCTTGAATCACACTTATTGCCGGCAGTCAACAGTTGCGAGACAACTTCAGGTGGAGAAATTAAGTCTTTGTTCTGGATCAAGAGAGGAACTGTGTGCTTGCAATCAAGCATCATCAGTTGGACAACCTGTAATTGAACAAGCACAAGCTACAGAATTAAGAGGGGGCCAATCATATGATGAAATGGAACTGCTTAAATAGTACAGAACCTTGAAGCAAAAAGAAAAACCATCTATATTTTGCAATAATATGCACAAAGTATGAAATTTCAGATTCCAAATATCAATACTGAGGATCCTTTGAGGTCAATTTACTTGCAATACATATTCGTGAGAGTGTCTATATATCAGCAGAACTACTGGAAAATAGCAAATATCTAAAATGTTGTTTTCAAAGACCAAATTTAGATTGAAACTTATCATTTCAAATGGAGATAGAAATCTGATCTTAAGTAACAATGGCAAAAGAGAAAGAAAACCACAAAAAGGCAACTAACATACAACTATTTCACCTTATCCTGCAGTCATACCTTTTCACGTATGGTATCATGTAAGTTGTGCTTTTCAATGAAATCAAATATATCTGGCTTCATGAGCTGAAAGGTAAAAGCCACCAAAGAAAACAAATAAGAAAGATATGTCAAATAAAATTAATACAACACCTTGTTTCCTGGATCATTTTAAACAAAGAGTGCTTTTCTTTGGGTGCAGATTCACTTGAACATGATGTACCAGAAAATACTCACATCAGCAAAAAGTGAAAAGGCTTTCTCATACTGCCCATCAAGTACATACAACTCTGCTAGTGCCTGATATAGAAAGAAGTTCCGATTAGTGACAAGTGCCATCAAATTTTAGAAATCCAACAGCACACACCAGTTCTCTGACTAACCTCCTTGAGTGCATCCGTCATAGAAGAAGTATTTAGCTGAGGTTCTATAGCAGATATAACAGGCAATGCAGAATAAATCAACGGTGGCCAAGATTTAACAGTCGACAAGAGATCTTTATGAAAAGATGGATTTGTTGCCAGAGCTACAAGAGCAACCTGTGAATCAAAAACAAACAAAATGCCTTGATCATGAGCCACTACAACAGAAAAGTTTGAAAGGAAAACTGCATGAAGACATTTTCATTCCACTAACCTCATAAGCAGTATCACGAAGTCTAGGGTTTTCTGTTGGCATGTAAGGGACCAACACAGGAAGCTGACGCAAATGAGCAAAATGGAAAACCCATCTGCAAAAGAAAGCATCTGGTCAGTATCAACTAGGAATGCAGAGAAGATATCAAAATAGTTGCTTTTCTTACCTTTCCCATGCTGAAGCAGACCCTCGGAGCAATTTGGAACACAAAGATGCAGCTTCAGCATATTTCCTTTCCACGATCAAATGATCAAGATATCTGGATCCCACCTGTGGTCATAGCATAAAAAGTTAAGCCGTTACTTAATTTAAAATAACATGGATCTCAAAGGAGGACCACTTAAGCATACTTCTTTTTTGCTAAAATGGAAAATGATCATTACATGCAATTGCAGCATGAAACTTCATAGCCATAAACTGAAATAACACATTGAGGAAAAGAATTGGATGGGTAAGACAGGAGCACAACAATGCTTATGTCTTTAAATACTACATGCACCACACAAACTGAAGAAACCATTATCCACAAGAACCATTTACTAATCAATTTAGCATGATCTTTAAAATCTTGAAAACCATGCACTTATATAAACTGAATGCTCTGGTGTAACATACAACATGTCACTATTGAAACTTACAAGCATATGCAGAAGAAAATAAAAAAACCAGATCCATAACCATAAAGATAAATGAAACAAAACTCATTTGATCATTTGTGCTCTGACAAGGGAGAAGGGGTGGGGAGCAGTATTTTTAAAAAGAAACACCAAATTATATGCAGAACTTGTTAATTCATAAAGAAATACTTAACGAGAAAGATCCCTGGAAAAAATTTAGCTTCTTTACTGTAGCAAAAAGGTGTTCCTCAACAACCAAGTTCAGACAGAACATTGTCATTATTTAAGTATAACAGAAGTTCAATGTTGCAGTTGTTGTGCGAGACATGGCACACCTCTGCATCTTTTAAAGTTGTATACCAGATAGACAAACCAAAATACCTCATCAACGAGTTCACTCCTTCCCTGGCCTGCTTCAACTGCTGCCAATGCTTTTTCATGCCAACCATGTTCTAGAAGCCACGCAATATGATCTTCAGCATCCCTAACAGAAATAAATATGTTAATTTATCTGGAAAACCAATGGAGAATACATAAACAAACGCATGCCCACTACATTAATTTCTCTGGAAAACCAATAGAGAATCCATAAACAAATGCATGCCCAGGCTGGTGAACAGGGGAGAGATGTGAGACTTTAATTGTTTTGATAAATGCAAACTCAGATGCCTAATACATAATGTCCATGATAAGTTTGTGCTTTTGAAGTTCACATGTCATAAGGGGTCAACTTCGAGGGGTGACTGAGTTTGCATTGTTAAATGAACGAAGTAGGCACTTCAAAACAGTGTTGATACATTAGAGAAGAGAATTATTCTTCAAGCAGCCTTGTTTTTTTTTTTTTAATGTTTCAAGCTTCAAACTAGAAGGTGTTCTAAAATTAATTCAGAACACCATCCGAACCACCAATATCAGGGAGTTCATAATGCAAGCAAAGAAATAAAACGATTCTATTTAAAAGCTAAAATACGAGTAAGAATCAATAATAACCTAGGCTTTGCAATCACCACATCCTTCGGGGAAACGATATAGTATAATGGTTCATCACCAGCAGCCCATTGACCACCAGCATAGCTGCTACCTGTATTCACATAGAAAAAGTATCAAGCTATTTAAATGTAGTTCCCAAGTACAAAAGACCATGAATTTCAAATAATCCAACATGTTAACCTGAGAAAGGAGCATGAGCAAGGGAATAGTCCTTCGCCTTGTAATGCTCAAAACCATGCACAGGTAGGGCATCTGTTGCAAGTTCATCATTATTCCATGTAACAACTCGTACTTCTGGTCTCTGTGCGTTGCCCTGATTAAAATAGACAATTCAGCAACTACAGTACCTATTTATTTCCACTAAAGAGACTTGCAAGCATGTTTTCATCTTTTAAAAATAAAAATACTGGCAGAAAGCAGCTCGATCACACTGCGAAGAACCATGTTTTAATCAACATCCAATCATAAGCAAGCTGAAAACATAAATGAAATGTAACGAAAATGGAGACAGGCACAGAAAAGCAAAGGTTAGGAGCAGAGGAGAACAAGAACAATTAAAAAAAACAAAACCTTGTTCAAGTGATTAAAAATCTCCAGAAAACACAATAAGTCTCTTCCTGAAAACAAATAATTTTCAGAAGAAAAAAGGAAGGATCCAAAATGAGCAGAACCCTTGAGCCCATGGAAGAAAAGAATTCTATGACATAAAAAAAGGCTATTGCTAGCATTTTCAACAAGTAGAATACTAACTTTGAATTTACTCCTCTAAAAAATGTGCAAGAGGCAGGTCAAAAGTTTATATTTCAACGAAGTCTGGATAGTATGAAAGAGAAGATACCAGTCTTGATGAAATGGTGCTACTGAATTCCTTCTCTCCATCTTCTTCCACAGGAATATAAGCTAGAACAACCAAAGAATCACCAAATGGAGCAATTCCTGAAATATAATAGCTGGTTTGAAAAGAAGCCACAATATCCACCTGGTTCATCCTGGACACCGGAACATCCCTATATGTCCCATTAGCTCCCTTTTGCTGATTTGCTCTTATCGATGCTATTTTTACAGACATTCCCCACCCAATAACCAAGAGAGTATCATCCTGAACGTGATAGAATGCCACAAAGCCATAGATTTCAAAGACAGCAACATTCAAAAATCTAATAACAATGACAGAAATGACAGTTGAAGCTATTCAATCAAATGATGGGATCAGCTCCTTCACTTACCTGCCAAACTAAATGCGGGAGCAAAAGCTCCGGACGCGGACTCCCTCGCGGTCTTTCAATAAAAGTTATTCTTCGATCATTAGCAGCATCATAAACTTTCACACCCGCATCATTAGCCCACGCAATGAGACTCGTTCTCCACTTCACAGCATGTATCGGACCTTCCCCAGAGTGTAAAACCTAATCAAACAAAATAATTCACAGCATTCAATAACAAAATCCGGGACCTCAAGCACCTACACCATACATACTAGTACATACCTGGTCACGGTAGCCTAGCCATTTCTTGGAGTTAAAATACAATTGACCAGCTAAACCACCAGCAACAAATCTTTTAGACATTTTTCTAGAATATTCAGGGTCTAAAGCAATTGCCTTCATCGGCCGATGATATTCAAACTTCAAAACCTTCTCGTCGGTGAAAAGACTATTAATTACAACAGTGCCATCGTCTGAACAACTTCCTATATATTCTCCTTCTATATCAAAGATAAGATCATTAACCGCCGCTGTATGCGCCGCAAATTCCTTAACCTGAAACGCACAAATTTGAGAATTAATGAATAATCCAGAGAAAGCGAGGGAGAGAGGGCGGGAATGAGGTCTGACCTGGTTGCCGAGGAAATCGAGGATGTGAACGGTGCCGTCTAGAGTGCCGAGAGCAATCATGCGTTCGGCAACAGCAATACACGACGCCGCATCATTGGACAAAAGAGAAGGTATGCTACCTCCCATTCTTTGGTACTTGAGTCTTGGTGCCTCCTCCTCCTCCTCCTCCTCCTCCTCTTCTTCTTCTTCATCGTCATCTTCCTCTACTTCTTCATCGTCGTCTTCTTCTCGCTCGTCGTCTCCATCGACGCCATTCTCCGACGTAATTGGAGTCATTTGGAGAATTTTAGGGCTGGTGTTGAAGAGAAAAGAAAGGAATGAAGCAATGATTGAGATAGAGATCTGTGTGTTCGAGTTGTGTCGAAGATGGTGGTGCTGTTTCTCTTTTTGGTTAAAACAGTTGGAGTTTGAGAGGTGAATTTAACAGTCACTAAACTCTTGAAACACAAATAATTAGCCCCGTTATTTTAACAAGTAATTAATATATCCCTTGATTAATTAATCTTTATTTGGAAAATAATTTTCTATAAAATGATATGTAGATGGAAGTTATCAAGTATTTAATATCTAATCTTTTTCAAATATTAAATAAAAAAACAAATCTAAATTACAAATCAATACAAAAATATATATTACAAGGAATAACAATTATAATTATATGATAAATATATCTTTGTTTTGAGTTCTTTAAATATAAATTTTTCTATGTTTTTTATTTAGATATAAAATTCTAAAAACATTACTAAAGAGCATTTTTTAATTAGTTTATTGATGCAATTCTCGTGAAAACATATGACTCTTTGTACCTCTACTTATATTTTGCTTTGGAAATACAGAGTTTGGCACCATTTTTCTTTCCTACATCCTAGCTTGAAGTCAAACATGGTCAAATGACTGATCAATTACTTTAAAACTAGGAGGACTAAATTGTTAGTTTGATAAAACTAAAAAGACTAGGTTATAATTTTCTCTAGTTTAATTATTAATTAACAAGGCAACAAAAAAGTGATGACGACTTATGGATGCCACCTGTCCATTGTTTTACTTTTTATCAACTCAACTCGGACCTGTTTGGAATAAAAAAGTTCCTTCTATTTGGGGTTTTCCATTGGTTTGCTCGGATGCGCCCGGAGTTAATTGAAGTTACATTTGATATGAATTTTATAAATTGGTTTAATTTATTTTTTTTAGTTTTGACTTGTGCAGAATTCATAAATATGTTTTTTTAAGGTTTTTTAACTTTTTATTTATAAAAATTTCTATTGTATTTTGATTTATAAATATATTTAATTAAAATAAATTTTAACATAAATCAAAAGTTTGTTACGGAATTAAGTTAAGATTTTGATTATATCAAAATTCTGATTTATTAACATAATTCTAATTTATTCTATATCTTTTTCTTAAAAAAGAAAAACACTGGATTTGATTCATTTTTACCTGATATGCTTCCAAGTTAAAATATTTTTAACCTGTTTTTATTATAAGTTATTTATAAATTAAAAAAACTCTTAAATTAAAACCTAAAGTCAAGAGTTACTTTTCATAAATCATGTCAAACTGATGCTAAATTGGTCTTTGTTTAATACACTTTTAGAATAAATGATTTTTTATTAACTCTAGGGTTATTTGCTTGATTTAGTGTTATATGATGGGTATTTTTCCAACATTTCCTTATATTTCTAATTGAGTTATTGTAATATTGTATATTAATTAATTTTTAAAGGTTTATTTGAAAGTGTAGTATATGTTATTTATCAAAGTAATTTTTATTTTGAAATATATTAAAATAATAATATTTTTTATTTTTTTAAGATTTATATTTGACATCAACAAATTAAAACAATACAAAACCATTAAAAAAACAATTTAAAGCTAAAAAACAAAATTTTAAAACACAGATAGATTGTAATGCTAAATAGATTTTTGATCTATCCTTCAAATAAGATTTTCATGTCAGCCATCCAAATCACTTTTGTGATTTGCATATGTAATAAATTTATGTTTGAATATATTTAAAATTTCTAAGTCAAGTGTAAATCAATATTGTGTTTGGGAGAGAGATTGATTTTGTTTTTATATATTTTTTAAAAATATATTTAAAAAAATTTATGTATTGATATTAAAAATTTTAAAAAAATTATTTTAATGTATTTTTAAATAAAAAAATATTTTAAAAAACAATTACTACAGTAATGCCACACAAGCAAGCGATTAATTAACACCTTTTACCATTTGCAGATCATTTTGTCAAAATGATTTTTAAATACTCGCATGATAAAAAGAAAAAAAATCCAAAACCATAGAACTTATCTGGTTATGGTTGAAATAAATTGATAATAAATAGACTAAAAAAAAACCTTAAATATTAGCCAAATCCAAGGAATTTCACTTCATCCAAAACTTAAGGTCATCTAAAGTCCAGACGGAAGGCTGAACCTGGTGCTGTCCCTCTACCTCCGTCATGACTACCACACGAGTCATGGTTCGTTCTCAAGGTTGTAATGTCTACAAGAATTGAAGAAAAGAAAAGACCTACACGCGCCTTGTTTGATTTATTTGGGAGAATTTCATACCCATGCCTATCTTGGATGCAAAGCCTTGTTTGATTTATTTGGGAGAATTTCAATGGTAGCAAGCAAAAGGGGTAGTCGAGTTTTTTTTTTTTTTAAGAGTTCATTTGTTTTGGTATTTTAAAAAATAAAAAAATTTATTTTATTTATTTATTTCAAATTATTTTTTTATGTTTTTATATTGTTTTGATTTACTCATCTTAAAACTAATTTTTTAAAATAAAAAAAATATTTTTAAATATTTTTTATTAAAAATAATTGTTATTACATCCACTACCGCATGAATTTACAGAATTGTGACTTACTCCATGCATTCATCCACACCTACCAAAAGGGTTTGTAGAACTGTGGCTTCCCTTAAACCTCACAGGCGCGTGTAGGATTCTTTTTAATGTAGAAGTCATATGATAATCATGATTTGACGGAGGGAGTCTTAAGCAGAGGATCTGAAATTCTAATGCATAATATGTGGTTGCTACTTACCTGGACGGGATCAATGGGTGATCATGAAGGCCCATGGTCTAGGTCAGTGACCTCCATTGCAATGAGGAGGGGTGCTGGTCTAAAGTCTCCCCAAGAGAAAGAGCCTACGTCAAAATTTGTGTTGCTTGTTTATAATCCTGCTGTTATTGCTGTACAAATGAGAGGTGGTTTTCACATTTAAATTGTTAAGTAAATATGATTTATATTATTTTTTAATATATTTTTTTAAATAAAATTTTTTTAAACTTGAAATTTATATGTATTTATATTTTATTAAATTTAATTTTTATTAAATAAATAAAAATTAATTTTAATAGCACGGAGTTTCCACCGGGATACCGATAACATGGTTGTAACTCATTTCAGAATATGGCATTAGGAACAAAAATTAAAACACCAATACTTTCAATGCAAAATACATAACACTGTGCACCATGAAATGTTTTTTTTTTTTCGCTATCCCGTAACAATCTTTTAAAGAATCTGTTCTTAATTTCTATGTTTTTGATTCGGGTGTGCAGGGCCGTACAGGAAAAGGGAGTCAGGCTACGCAGGCAGTGGCTGGAGGGGATAACGATGAAGAATGGACAGGGAGCTGTAAAGATCGGTGTAGTTGGGAATATGACTGTACAACATGAGGTCTTGATTTCTAGTTTTATATGATTAAATACATATAAATTTATATGATTCTACAAATTATTTATTTTGTGGAGTTATTAGTTTGTAACAATATAAATGAAGAAGGAGAAGAAAAAACTCTTATCAACTCAACTCTATTTACTCTAACACTTTTTTCTATATTCTTTTTTTTTTTTATCATGTACTCAGCTCTTCACTAAATATATATACTGTAGCAAATTTGTCAACCTTTTTCCAACCATCATAACTTTGTTGTTGTAATAAGTAGTAGTAGTTGGTTGACATTTATTAGGTTGTACATGGACTGCTGTCAAGACCTTCATACTTCTCCTATAAACAGAGACGAGAGAGTGCAGTGCAAGTAAAAAGAGTGTAGAGAAATAGTGTTTGCAAGAGTGTGCAGAGGTGGTGAGTGCAACTGTGAGAGTGGTGAATGCAACTGTGAGAGTGAGAAAGTGCAGATTTAAGAGAAATACCTAGTGTCAGAATAAAACACCGGGTTTTGTGGGATTGTATTAGGTTGAGTTGATGTTTGTATCATTCCTCTAATAATATATAATATGCTGCCTCTGTGGACATACCCGGTTTTAGAGAACCACATAAATCTGTTTGTTTGTGTTTTATTTGTGTTTGCTTTCGGTCCAGTATGCGCAACAAATTGGTATCAGAGCATTAAGGAAGCTAGAACGCTGAAAAAACACGTTTTTCAGCTCTTTGTTCAAAGTTGCAGAATTTTCAAAGTTCTCAAATCTTGATTTTGACTACTTGTAGAGATTCCTCTCATTGATACGAGTCCGACGATATAAAGATCATCAAAATCGGAGTTAAAACGAGCCCTATAGAGCTCGCCGAAGTTTCGCCAAAAATTTGCTGGAAAAACCAGATAGTGCCAGAATTCTCACTTGAGAAGACAGCCACGTCATCCGACACGTTGGCACTGAGTCACCATCCACGTCATTAATAGAGGGTTCACATTACCATGCCATCAGATACGTCATCTAACAATGGTATAATATTTTCTTAACAGAATAAGAATATTCTGTTGACAGTAAGAGAATATTCTCGTGACAGAATATTCTTTATCAGAGACAGAATATTCCTTCCTTGAGTCAACTCGGTCAGATAAGTTTTTTGGCCAACTTAGTGATTTTTTGACCGGTTTTAGGTCGAGTCAAGCTGGTTCCTAGCATTTTCAACCATTCCGGACGCAACCTTGGTGTCCGTTTTGTGAAACAACACATCAAAGTTACTGTTTTGGCTCTTTTGAGCATAAAAGTGTGTGTTTTAACAATTTCAGGAGCCTATTTGTAATCCAAAGACGTCCTAATGACTGATATTCCAGAAGAAAGATTAG